AGGAGTTAAGGGGAGGCAAATCTCTTTCTAAGGGCGCAAAACCTGTGTGTAGATAGCTTAAGGTCTGATGGTGACGTTCCTCTGGTGATTATTTCCCTTCTGCATAAGTACCATGGCCACCAGTACTTTTTTTCTGATAACTGCATGAACTGAAATTTGCTGGCCTGTGTTTGGGTTATGTTGCCATTCCTGTTGGACTCTGCATAAACACCTAATCAGTGACTCATGAAAGATGTACTTTAGCATCCTCCATCTTGTTAAATATCTGGCTTAGATACAAGCATCTTACTGCTGCATTAAGTTCCCCGTTCCAGGCACAGCCATATTTCACACATATTTTGCCTTTTGAAAATGTGTGTACTAGTTCTTCAGAACTAGTAAAATGAGAAATTGAAGTGGATCCAGTAAAGGAGTTTTTTAAAACAAATTATTTAAAAGATAACTTCTATTTTTTGGTATAAAGTGGTATTTAACGGTGGGTTAATACTTAAATAATAAACCTCGTTGTTAAAGATTCAGTAGCCCTATCTTTTTAACCAAAGTACATATTTATATGACAGTGTTTCTCAGTCTTCTTTCAACCATTATTGCAAGTAAATATGTTATGGGGATGATGAGTGATAATGTAATTTATTTAAGTTCCAGTAGGTTGACAGAAAGGCTGTAGAGGTATGTGCAAAATGATCATTGAATCAATCTGTATCGTTCATCCACCTAAAGCAAAACTTCAGCAACACTTTTCAAAAGCAGCTGTTAAGTAGCTGCGCATGAGCCCAAATTAGATCCCAACTTCTCTATTTAGATATTCCTAGTCCTCTGATTCAATGTGTGATTAACAGCCATTGTTTTTTTAAAACAGCAGACTAAAACATGTAACAATTATAACAGAACTTGTACTTTTTTGAAGACTTTGTGTATGAAATTTTAATATAGATTATATAAGGAAGTTATACTAAAGCAGTGAAAAGTATTGTAGAAGCTGGCGATGTGGAGTGGATGGTGCCAGGTGTTGCAGGAAGAGGGAGAAGTCTTCTGCAGAGAGTGGTTGAATTCTGCCCTGGGGAACTGGATTTTTCTGTCTGCCGCTGGCACCAATGTCTCATGCAGTATCTGTCAAATTGCTAAGACTCCCATTTTCAGAGAGCAACTTGCTTTACTTTTGTTTTTTTTTTTCCTCAGTTTTTGAGTGGATGAAATGAGACCTACAGCCTGCTTTGTAAAAATGCAGAGTAGTTACAGCTACAAATTTTCACTGGCCATATACAAAGTATGCAAAGCTGCTGCTTAAAAAAACTGCTATTCATCTAATTTGAGTGGATCCTCAGAGACAAAATCTGCCCTGCCTAAATTTCAATTTCCTGTTCTGAACCATGAATTTCCAGAGAAGAGACTCAGCCAGACCGCTTTAACACTTAAAAACACCAACAGTCTTCCTCCTGGCTAAGACACAGTTTTGAAACAAGTGTCCTACTACCAGTCCAATACACTGTACCCAAACTCTATCTTAAGTATCCTGGTAACAAAAGAGAAACCTAGAAAATGTAAAGGTCAACAGAGAACCAGTGCAAATTTCTTGTAAATGGAAATTGTTTTGTTATTGGTAGCAGGGGAGCCGATAAGTGAAAATGTTAAAATTTCTTGGCAGAGCAATAGTTTTTGGCAACAGACACACATGTATTGTAAGTACTTTTCAGACACTTTCAAATGGTATTCCTTCCTTCTGGACAGCCTAGCAATTAGATAGACATCTTCATGGCAATTCAAAGATGACAATTTATAAATTAAATAGTTTTATCCACTGTTTACAGACTTTTGCCATGTAAATGTTATCACTGACATCATCATAAACATATCAGTAGTAACTGAACTAGACATAGTAGCTAACACTCTTGTCAATATTGGCTGTCAACAAAATCAGAAAACCTGACCTTACTGTGGTAAGACAGAAGATAAACAAAGTGGGCGGGGAATGTTCTTCCTTGAGGATGTGTTAGCTAGACTCGATTGCTCCTGCTAGCAAGTCTGTCTTGGTTAAATAAACCTATTTTACTAGACAATTCTAAAAAATCCTTGTAATTCTGGTAACCTAATTAGATTATTTTAACTTTTAGACAATGAGGAACATTCAACAGTTATTTTAGGAAAACATCAGTATAGAGTTAATGCATGCTTTAAGTTAGACTGGCCTTATCAGCACTAAAATGAAAATGAAGACAATTTAATAGCTGTGTCTCTCACTAAACTCTCTATGGGGTTTTCTCCCCTCCTAAAGCTTTGAGAGGCCTTTTTATTTTTTTATTTTATTTATTTTTTGTATAAAATTCAGTTGTTAGATAAGGGTGCCCTCTCATGGACATTGTGGGCACGAAGTTTTGTTAAAGTTTTCAAGACGTGCATTTTCTTTCCACATCAACATAGTGGACAGTCAGTAAGCTACAGTAGGCAGACAAGTAATAAAACATGTAATTTAGAAAGCAGAGACTTTCTTTAAAATAAACACTTAGTTTCTTCATAGTACCCTCCTATACAAATCTCTCTCTTTAGTGCGGTTCTGCCTTTGAGTTCAACAACAATTGGATTTCTCTTTCAATCACAGATAGATATTGTGCAAGTAGACTTCAGACTGATGGAGAGAAAAATTAATCAACCTGGGGGAAGAGAAGATTTAAGACATGTGAACAGCTAAGGGAAGTCTTGATTTAAGTAAATAAATTTTTTAAAGCGCCTAAATTCTGCCCACATTCATTTTCAATAATAATTTAATAGCAGTTAATTAGGGTTTAAGTCAGAATACAGAAATACAATTTACATATGTAAAGTAGATCCAGCTTTATCTGTATTAGTGTGCATGTTTTCTTGTTGAAATCTGAGATAAATGCTTACAGTGATGTGGTTGTGAAACGGAGATTTAGGCATACCATTTTATGAATAGAAATATTTTCTTCATTTCCTACTAAAAACTTATTTAGTGTTAAAAATATATTTGCTTGTTTTATTTCTTTATAAAAACTATGGTTTCCCAGAGAAGAGACTCGGCTGGACTGCTTTAACATTTAAAAACACCAGCAGTCTTCCTCCTGGCTATGGCGCAGTCAAAAGTGGTACACTTTCGAAACAAATGTCCTACTACCAGTCTTTTTAAATAAGTGCTTTTAAAATGGCAATTAAAACACTATTAATATTTTTCAGTGATCATGGAATCATAGAATGGTTTGGGTCACAAGAGACCTTAAAGATCATTGAGTTCCAACCCCCCTGCCATGGGCAGGGACACCTCCCACTAGAGCAGGTTGCTGAAAGCCCCATCCAGCCTGGCCTTGGACTCTCGGAGTGCATCCACAACAGTCTGCAGAGCTGCCTGTTCCAGTGCCTCACCACCCTCACAGTAAAGAGTTTTTCCATTATATCTAATCTACATCTACCCTCTTTCCAGTCTTTCATATTCCATTCTCACAGGTATAATGACACATGCAGCAATGTAGAAGTTTTTTTCCTGTGGACATGTCAATATAATGTGACTGGAAAGTACATGCAAAATCCAAGTCATATCCAGGTGAGCTATAATGCAGGCCGAGTTAATCGGTTATGATACAGAAATACTGTATTAATATTTCTAGTATTGTTCAAAATCAAGCAGAATGGTTTAGAAGTTCCTGTGCTAATGAATTGCTTACCCAAGGCTTAAACATCTTTAAACATCTGTATTCACTAGTAACATTGAAAGTATTAAACATTGAAAGTAAACTTTATCTTTTTAATATCTAAAGATCTAAGTAGCTTGTGTCCAGGGGTAAAAGGAATTGCCTGAGGAAGTCTTTGAATCACTGATATTGTATTTTTTGTTGCTTATCACTGTGTAGCACGTTTTACCTTTACATAGTAAGAAGGGAAATAGAAAGCTGCAGTTGGAGTTACTGTAACAAAGAAACACAGTTTCAGTGAGACCATTTGTGGAAAACAGTTTTACTGCCCCCACAGCTGAAAGAGTTAGCAAACTGGAAGGGGGTAAGAAAATAATACAAGTAATTTGAAATCTGGAAAATAGATGTGATGGTAAGTGGCTGAAGAACTCTCTTTTGAGCTTGTCTAAAAGACTTGGATGGTCTAGAGGTATTTAAGATTACTGATGATAATGGCTGTACATTGAACAGACAGAATGAGATCCAGTCTTCAAATACCTGGCTAAGTGCAAGTTATGACACTTCTACAAAATACATTTTCCGTCCAATTCACCTATTCAGGTATTTGTACTGAAGGGGCAAAAGAATGTGTTTCCAATGTAAAACTGATAAAAAAAAATTCTGAGAGTTGAGCAATCCAGTGAAATACTGTACTAAATCCTTAGTTTGATCTCTCTACAGTGTTGGCTCAGTCACTCATATCGAGACAAAAAAGCACTCAAAAGGTGTTTTAGAAATATTCATTTTCTTTAAAACTTCTTATAGTCAACAAGAAGTTGAATTCAGCCTTCTATAAATGAGTTGTATTTATGGATGACAATTCCACTAAAATAAGAGAAAAAAAACCCCAATATGCAAGTGGTCTTCAGCAAGAAGTAGACCCCTGTTGGTGAGCTGTTGAAAGAGGGTGAAAGACTAAGCAGCAGTATATTAATTCCCTTAATTCAACTCACTGTCTTGAAGCAGTGTTTTCTGTATAGCCTCTGAGCCCAGGGACACTGCAGTTCAGTGAGACCTTTCAGGTAGTGCTTCTAGGTTGCTTTGCATAGCAAGAAATTAATTTTTGCTTAAACTGAAATGGATGTACTACAGAAAAAGGGAAAAGTTTTAACTGCAATTTTTGGTTGCTGTTTACTTTTCCAGTGGCTTTTAAGTTAGATCATTTCATAACCATATTCTAGTTCATTAGCAGATTTTGAAAGATCTTAATACCTCAGTGATAATACTCCACTAGTTCCGTGGCACAAACCAAGGACAGATACACTGTGGAAGAGCAGAGGAGTCACCGAGCCAGCAATACATTACCTTCTACAATTAGGAAGCAGTTTGGTGGAACAGCACTTCAGAATCAGCTGCAGCTGGACCTGTAGTTCAAGGGGCTGCTACAGCAGTGTCTCTGACATGGTACTTTTGGCTTTACTACAATATTTATTTACATATCGCATATTTTGGCATGTATATTTTCTATGCTAATATTGACTCACCATCAAAAACCATCTTGCATTTAATTTGATGTTGAATTCTTGGACCACTGTAATGGCAGAATTAGTTCATACACACAGCGATTCCCCTGTAGGGTGCCATCTGAATGGCTTAGCTTAAAATACAGGAGGAGCTACAATACAGAAAAGCCAGAAAGTAGACAATATAATGCCAGAAAGAAACTCCTACCTGGACAGTGCAAGTAGTGAAGTCTGATGGTACAGTTTTTAAAGAACAATTACAACTATTGACTGAGAGGAAGAGAAGATTAATATAAGTATGTATTAAAAAAAATCAAACGAAAAATTAATTGTTTCTGACTGTTGACAGATGTTGAGGAAGCTGCTGATCTTGGCTTATGGCAGAGGCACCAGTGAAGCAGCTCCTGAGACAGCAATATTTCATGACTGACAGAAACAAGGATTGCTGGAGAAGAAAATAAGATCATCTTAATTTCACATATATCTAATCCTTGTGAGGAAAATGTCACATTATACAAGCATCGTGACTTTAACACAGCCTAATGCCAAGCTGGAAATATGATGCAAGAGACTAGACTTTCTGAAGCCAATTATTGACCGTCTCCTTGCTAATCATGTCCATGAATGAAAAGTTAGCACAGTAATGCATTACATGGTATAATGCTATTTGGCAGGAAGCGTGGGCAGAGGGTAAGTCTGTTCTGTTCTTTGGGATCTATTGTAAGCAGGAAAGTAGATAAGGAACTAAAGGACTACATGGGTCAAAAATTCTTTCTTGGCTTTTGGAGAAAAGATGCTGGTAACAAACTCTAGAGGTTTCCATTCTGTTAATACTTCCATTTGGATCATTTATATCAAGGTAGGTACTAGACAATTTTCTTCTAATATGTTTATATTCAGCACACATTTGTATGCATGCTTTACGTCTCTCATGGTATATGTAAAGTAAGCTGCGCATTGCCATGTCTATAGGATTATAAATACCATGATCTCTGTTTCTTCAGGTGGCAATGCATCTGTTAAGAAATGTACTGATTACGAAGCTATATCCAGTTTGAACACTGAGCGGCGCTACGATATTAACTGTTGCAATTCACTCAGTCTTCTCCCTTGGAATCAGGTTGTAGCATCTGATAAACCCCATCACTTTTCACTTATTAATTAGCTATTACAGTTATGATCCTATTACTTGTACTAAATAGTAATAATGGCTTTATTATTATTATTATTATTACTATGGGGCATGACTAAGACTTTGTCTGCATGAAAACAGGGACAAAACAAGTAAATTAGCTGTAGTCTGTACTTGCTGTCTATGCAACTCTAGCACAAAGTCATCACAGCCCAGTAATGAATCCAGATCCCACTGCAGTAGATGCTGTTACACAAACAGATGAAAAACACCACGGCTTTGTGGGGACGCTTTTGAATGACCTATTTCATTTTAATGTAACAAATTACTTATTTAATATTAATTTAGCATTCTGTGTCGTAAGGAAATCTATTGTTGTATAAGACACAGTAATTTTTAAAAGCACTGTCATTGTTAGCCAGCTACATAATCATCATTATCTGGACTATCACAGGCCTGTCTTGTCCTGAATACAAACATGACTATTCCAGTAACATTGGACACTGAAATACTACTGATTTCAACATAGTCAAGGCATTCAGGAAGGAAACGTGCCTCAGCCCTAAAATGTAAAAGTTATAATGAAAAGGAAAAAAAAAAAAGGGGAAACAACCTGAAAGAACACAGTAAAAAGGTGGGGAGGGGAAGGGGGGAACCTTTATTTGGTCTGCATTTTGAGAGAAAAGGAGAAAAAATTCTCCCTCTCCATTTGATCTCTTCCAGTTTAACATTCAACTTCAAACGCGTAGAGAAATCTGAAGTGTTCCATTTATAGTCACCAAAGTCAGGCAACACTGTCTGCTCTGTTAAATTACAGCTTCTTAGAATGTATGCTGTTCGGAACAACCAGACTGAGGCTGTCAAATACCATTACTATACTGCAAGAATAAGTGCCATTTTTAATTTAAAAAAAAAAATATTTAAAATGAAGAGAAAGCTAGACACAATCAAGAAGTTGGTTTCTGGCAATCAGACAGGACAATATGGACACTGTTTCTCGCAGGTTCTGTGTGGCTGGTGGCTGGTACCAAATCTGGCACAACTTGGGGAAAGGAGTAAGTGTGCTAGAGAAACATGTGACCCATTGTCGTGGTTTGGGCCGGACTGGCCACTAAAATGAACAGGTGCTCTCTTTTACTAGTCTTCCCTTTAGAGAAGGAAGAGCATCTCCCCTCAGAAGAGAGGAGAGAAAATAAGAAGAGAGAACTTATGGGTTGAAAAGAAACTAAACTGCTTTAATGAAGTATTAATAATAAAATATTAAAAAGAAAAAATAGTATTAATAAGAAAATAATTAAATATATACAATAGATACAAGATGATATCCCAGGATGATAATCACATCACGGGCAGGCACTAGGAAAGTTCCAGACTGGACTCAGCAACGGATGGGAGCTAGATTCCAGGTCTGGATTCTGTAACACACAGATTGATATCAAAGGCAGATGAACAGGCAGAGTCCTCGTGATAATCACATCACGGGCAGGCACTAGGAAAGTTCCAGACTGGACTCAGCAACGGATGGGAGCTAGATTCCAGGTCTGGATTCTGTAACACACAGATTGATATCAAAGGCAGATGAACAGGCAGAGTCCTCGTGGGATGCTGGCCATTGAAGAAAGAGGCTGACCCTTTGATCCCTCAGCTTTTGTACTGAGCATGGAATACCCCGTGGGTCAGCTTTGGGTCACCCATCCTGTCCACTCCTCCCCACAGGTGCAACCTCTCTACACTTTTCTGCTTCCAGCCCTCCAGCAGGGCACACAACAAAGTGAGCCAACCTGGGCTGTTACAGCAATAAGGATAAGCAAGAGCCACTCTGCATACCGTCCCTTGGTGTGCACTGTAAACGTCAGACCTTACCTGCTAGAAGCAGACACTGTCTGAAAAATATGCCATTAATTTTAGAGAGTTTAGAAGAAGCTTAACCGAAGAATAAAATTACTGAAAAGAAAATTGGTTCTGTTTTACCTCAAACCAGGACACCTGTTACCTGTGCTAAAGTGGCAGAAGTGAAGAGGAAAATGCCCTCTTAGCACCTCTTCCTCCCCTCTGTGGCGTGCTGGGGCTGCATCAGGAAAAGTGAGAGATTTTGGGCAAGCAAATGTGAGCACGGCAGACAGATCATGTAAGACCATTTTCAAATGTAGGCTTGTGGATTTTGTTAACTTATTTTTCTTAGTTTTAAAGAAGGTGAAGATTTATTTCCAAAGATGAAGAAAGTAATTGATATTACTTGGATTATTATTCTGTTGTTACAGGTGACAGCTGAATTTTCATACTCTGACATCAAAACTGGCCTGTGTTGCCCTTCCATGCTCTGAAGTAGCAGGGAATTCAAGGTCTTTCCAGTGACTTTTCATGGTCTTATTCTACGACCACAGACAAAAACTACAGATGTTTCTGCAGCCTCTCAGATCCACTCAGGTTCTGAAAACATGAGAACGGAGATTCGGTGCAGCCAACACGCCCAGGAACGTGAAGAATTGGTGGCAAAAGCGCCGTGGAGCCCAGGTGAGTTGGTATTTTCACTTAGGGACTAAAGATTTTAACTTTTAACCACTTGAGCTGTAGTTTTGGTTGCAGTTAACTACCCATAATGTTTTTTTCTAAGAACTTTTGTACAGCCTCAATGCTTAGGG